AACAACATAAGCATTTGTTTTAAATTAATTATACTATTTTAATAAAATTATTCAGCATTCCAGCACTGAGGAATCCAGCTACATACCTGTCATTTCCCTCTTTATCCTTGCCATTATACCCGAGACCATTAAGGATGGCAGCGCCTTCCTAAAAATGGGGAAAAAATTGATGAAGTCCGCAGCCAATTTTGACTTGTTTTGTTTGTTAACTGCTGTTTTAACGCCGCAGTTCGCGTTGCGAATGTTTCACAAGAATGCTGGGTTGTGAACAAAACTTTCGCCCCAGGCGGGACTAGAACCCGCACCCCTCACTTTACCGGGCAAGTGCGATGTGCGAACTTGCCGATAAGCTATGGTAAATGTAAATGTACCACGAAAATGTAAAAATGTACCATGAAAAGCAGAATTCTGGCGGTAGAATAAATTGTAGGGCATTTGCCAGGTAAATCTGTGGGTCCGAGTCCAATTAAGAAAGAAAAAACCATTATAAATGAAATAATTAAAATGGTTCATTTCGCTCCTTCCTCAGACGAACCTTACTAATTCGTAGCCTGGGGCGAAAGTTTTCGAAACCCAGCAATCTTATGAAGAGCAGCTGTTTACACTTTGCTTTTTGTTTCAGTAATTCTTCAGCCTCTTCCCCCTCCAACTGAGCTTTGCACGGCTTCATTCAATACCGCTGCTACAGTATTCGTAATCATTCCCCATTTTTTCCATTTCATGCCCTCAAGGGATTGTTGAGAATTAATTGCCCTTTTGCAGAAAATCGTTTGTTCCCTCTCCGCAATCTTCGTTATTAGAAAATATTGCGTCTCTTAGCCTAAACCCTATATTCTGAGGCTTAAATACAACTCGGAATAACTAACAATTATGAGCCAAATAGCACAGTAGCGATACATCGTCAGCCTGAACCATATCATCGTCCACGTCCACCGCATCGGGAAAGACATGTTCTAAAAAAACAAAATGAGTAAGCGAAAGAAGAAAGAGAGGGACACTTCATAATCAAAACAAGCAAGACGGGATGCTGCTATGACTATCCTATGGTAACTGTGTACATTAATAAATGGTACTCCTAAATAATAATGAAACTGCTAAAAATAAACTCAATTAAGATATCTTGGGAAGTAAAAGTTGAGGGAACCTGTAGGACAATAAGAACAAGAATAAGATTTTATATTATTTCGAAAGCCTCCTGCACGGCTGGTGGAGCGATCTTCTGCCTCTGTAGGGCACCGGGAAAGCTTACTTCCCACAGTATGACGCAGCAGGTGAAGACTGTGGAAGCTAACATAAACTTAGGCTCTAATTCGAAGACTGTCCCTGATGTCTAGAGAATTCCTCAACCGACTCGTAGCCCATCTTGGGCACTGGGTTGGATCGCTGGCTTTCCAAAATCCTTCAACCGGCTCGTGGCTTAGAGCTCTGATTTACCTAACAGGATCGTTTCATGGGAAACAGAGCCTCGACCTTGTCCAGATGGGAGTTTGGCAGTGTCTCTGGCGTACAACGAGTAAGTTTGCGCGAAGAATTTATGCAGCTGCTTCGATAAGGAGCGAATACAGAAAGCTTTCTAGAGTTCGCTGGTCGTGCCGCGCCCTATTCGACGCTATTCGGTCGATGGTTACCAACGGTCTGCTTCTGCTTATCGGATCGGTTCAGAATCAAAATACCTCCGGTAACCCTCCAACAGCTAAACTGTTACAATGTGTGCTGCTAATTTTACTGGTTTCCGCCATGAGTAAGGTGACCTTTTATCCCTTGCCTCATCCTGCTTTCATTAGCTGAATCACGTACTATTCTTAGTTTACCTTCTAAAAACCCAGCGCTGGAGCCAGGCCTTCAGGAGATTGTTACCAATATCCGATACAGACTGCTGTAAGACTTACAAAGAATTTTTCCGAATTGAAGAAAGTGTCTGGAATCCATACAGCTCCCCACTGGTTCAGTACCATGTATGTGCAACCACCGATGAAACGTCCCAACGATGGCATCAAACTGAAAATAGTATAGAAGATATCTTCGAATCCTTACAGAGAAAGGCTGAGAATCTAGGACAATAATCATCCCAGCTTCACTGCACATTACACGCCGATCCTGTGGACGGAGTGAATTAGGCTACTGTGCCGTCTGCGTGTCATGTGCAATAGGCTGGCCACCTGGTCCATTTGTGAGCCCCTGCCCTTGAGACGGCCAAGCGGAAGAGCCCACCAATGAGAGCGGTGCATTGCTTTTCCACCATCGATCAGCATGGGAACTGCACCAATGTAGGGCTACAGAATGGATGAAATGTTTCATAAAAAATCGCACAAAATTGGACCGAATTCATCGTCAGAATTCAACCTTGCTTGATTACGGGCGTCGTTCCACATTCCACTTCCAATCAGAATCGAGCTAGCCTTTTGAATTCTTTCTGGCCTCTAAAGCGAAATGTTGGACGTAAAAGTTAGTGGTCTCATCCTCCCAGACAAGTCTGGTACCAAGTATGGTACCACTTAACCTTTCCCAGAAGGAAAGAAGACTTGGCTAGCTTGGATGGCGTCGATCAAGAAATTACTCCCGGTCCGTGCAAGTGGTGAGAAGCGCCTTTCGCCACTACGCCACACTTGCCCTACACGGGCTAAATGCCAGACAAATACCATTGCGTTGGATGGAAATCGAAGTCGTACGCTTATTCAAATAAAGCTCATGGCACCCTAGCGGTACATCTTTGCGCACAACATACCTCTCATGAGTTCACTGGCCATGCTTCAATAGATCCTACCGAAAGCGACGTTTTGGTAAAATAAACATCTATCATTAAGAACAACCTGAGGAAAAAATGAAATATCGATGGAAACTCACGCTGACTGCCTTGGCTGACCGTTCTCATCTAACCAATCCCCATTCACATAGGATCGGAACTTTGAGAGCGTAAATTGAGGGCCGGCAATGGTCCCAGTGTAGAAAAGACCGAAGGCAGCAGTTTCCAAGAGAGTTGGTGGTTTCATAATTGCTGTCTTTTTCTGATCTGCCTTGAGCTGCTCCTAAAATTGTCCGCATTCGTGAACAATGATTCACTGTTCGGTTAGTGGGCATATAAATGGCCAGAACATTCTATAGACGCTTGGGC